AAATATGAAAGAAAGAATCTTTCCTGTCATGAGCACTACTTTTATGGTTAGAAAACTTTTACATACATTATATGAAATATTATATGAACAAAACTTAGGACCGACCATTTTCTGTTAGAAAATAATTTCCACCAATACTCCACCTTCAACAATGAAACTACTGTTATTTGCTAAGAATTATGTCAATAAGTGATATATTGATTATTTTCTGATAACTAATAATATTGACCGTCCTATAGAAAGAAGCAAGTTGAACCATCGATATCATACTTTCACTGAAATAATGGACATGACAAAAGTATTACTCATAAAAAGACTAGACACATACACCCACACAAAGAGATAGTTAATTTCTTTAATACAAAAAAACCACCTTCACTATCTTTCAATGAGTGATAATAACAAAAACTAATAACTTTGAAAAACAAATCAATGTGAATGAATAATCAGTACAAAGGGGAATTGTATCATTAAAAATAAGTAAACAAGTTTTATAATCACAAAGTTTTTTTATGGTAAAGAAGCAATGACTGAAATATTAGTCGATTTTGTTTAATGAAACTTTATCTAGTTCACTGTGATCAAGATTACATAAGAGTGCTTCTTTAACCTTATCATAGGTACGAGTAATTGAATTTTTTTACCGTAAACCTCATTTTATCGATAAATACCTAATATTTCAGCCAACATGTTATATCTTTACATATTTTCATCTAAAAGATAACCATTTCTTGAGGCCAAGTTGAAAGTTAATTAATATGGTATGAAGGTAACTATGATTTTACTGGAGTGGGAATATCCGAAATTTCATCGTGTATGAATATTATTGTTGTCTAGTAACTCCTGATTTTCAGTAATTCCAAAGTTAGTTTCGTTTACGCGATACACGTCACACATTATATCTTATTGATATTTTACTTTATTCATTGAATCAATAAAAGGAATGACAATAAAAATATGGTTAAATTTATTTATTCAAAACTGAATGGATTTTTGGCTGATTTTTCATATGAAACTTTTACACTCTTAACATTAGTTAGTTCTTAACAACCATCTAGTATTATGCATAATATTTCTGGCTAGAATATTTGTTAAAGCTGGATACAGTCATGTCTATTAAAGTTGATTAGTGTCAGTTTTGTATGTATATACAACAGAATCAAGGAAATAGGTGTAATTGTTTAATTTAATTAAATGAATTTTTAAGCGCATATAATCATGGATATATTACATGTGTGCCCCGTCCGTAGCCGCGACCTTGACGTGGTGGTTTGGCGTGCCTATCTTGGCTGGAACACATGTTCCTGTAGGTTGTGCCATGCCAGGCAGTTTGATTAGAGGATGATGGGACTAAAAGCAGCTACTCAAGGTCCGTGAAGTCACAGACAACTGGACTGAGTCATGTAAGTAGGTGTATACCAACTGGTTGGTATCCGCGAGATGATAGTAACCGATTCTTAGAGACCTCAAATGACATGGCTCAAAATCGTTCGCAATGGCATCGGTTCATCCACTATTTTTATTCTCTAAAGTTCTAGTCTTCTGAGTTCCTCATCACCTCTATCTTTCTCTTTCCAAAGTTATCTCACTGAAGTATGGCAACCTGAACTTATGTATGTACGTATGAAGTTCTTCGTTCTAACTGACTGACTGACTGATTACGTGTGTGTACATACAACAGAATAAAAGAAATAGGTATAATTGTTCAGTCTAATTAAAATAATTTTTAAGTGTACGTATTCATGGATATATTACATGTGTGCTTTAAAAAACCGGTTGAACACAAACTATGAAATAAAATTTCATGACAAAATTTGAAATTTCTAAACAAACAATACGTAAATCTTAAATTTGACTATTACATAATGTAGTAGTTTATAATTGTTGAAATTAAGAATTTATCTATTTAGTCAAAAAGTATTATCAAAAATAGTTGAACGTTATACTGTGTTGAAATCATTCATCACTTTTGTTTAGCTATTACGTTAGTGCTTAAATTATTAGAAGTTATCTGTGTGTAGTATTGTAACTTATTCAACATTTTTTCTTCGTTTTATAATTAAATAAATTGAAGTAAGAAACTTTTAAAATTATTATATTATTGATTTCCAGTTGAAAAATTTTTCAAAAAAGAATTATTTCATTAACTTAGTTAATAAAAAAATATAAACAAAAAGGCGTCCAGTACGTTACAGAATCACGGACAAATAAATTTTCACGTTTAAAAACACTGAATCATCCATTGCTTTTTTTCATTTTGATTAGTGAAAGAAATCTCTCCTAATGTAAATAAACCAAGGCTAAACATGTAAATCAAACTAGTCGAAAAAATCGTGATCAATGATGATAACTTTTGATTCACGGACTATACTATTACTGTACGCAGACGATGACAAAATTTGCGAAATAATATCAGATTATAAACAAAGTTAAATTGTGTAGAAATTAGAATAAATGTTTATTCTTCCGTAACGTATCAGATTTATGCCCGTTTATTCAGAGAAAGAGGCTAAAGTAACAAAATTAAACTAATATCAATGGCTGGCAAGAAAAGTTTATTATAAAGTATGCAGTCTTGTT